TTCAATATTTAGGATCCCTTCGTGGGAAATGTTTTTCTGTTTTTCCCTTATGGTGGGAATAACTCGTTATTAGGTAGTCCCTTCATGGGAGTAGGAAGTTTAAATGTATTTGTGTGTGCGGGGGCGCGCCCAGCAGCTGTGGCGGACAAAGGCGTGCACGAGATAGCCCGAAGCAGCGGGCGGACAGGTACGCACCGGTGAGAGGCAGAGCGGTGATGGAATGCGGCCCAGGCAGGCGCTGGCAATAGAGCCTGAACAGTGGGCAGAGCAAATCAAAGCTGCAGCCTCAGCTCTCGCTTCTGCGAGCTGAGGCCGGGAAGGGACTAACACTAAAAGTTTAAACTGGGCCTAACTTCTGGTGAAAAATGGTTTCGGTCAGGACATTAAATGCTAAGTCAATGCTGTGTGAATAAAGGATGTTCTGTTCTTTTGATTGTCTTAATAAATGTTTGGATGAATGTTTGGATTTTCATGGTAGATAAACTAAAAGAACAGGATTCATAATTTTAAACTATATATTAGGTATGGTCTTGTCTGTTGATCATTACTAAAAATTTGGCTCTGCAATTTAAGTTGCTTTCTAGAAATTCTTGGTTTAATTCTATAAAAATATAACACCTAAAATGAATTGGGTTATCAGCTTATTAAATAACGTTGCTAAGATAAACTCATAAATGATAATCTCTTACTAACAAAGAGGTTACAAAATTAATTTTCCAATAAATAAAATACAGGTAAATTGTTTGGTCCACATTGTTAATAATTGGCTATTTATGCTAATGTGTTACTTGAAATTTATAGGAAAGGATCCTCTTTTTAAGATTTTATAAAATACTACTGAAAAGTATTACCTAAAGTTTTACCTTTTCAAATCCTATAGAGATTGTGTTTAATGCTTTTATAATTGGCATATGTAAAAAGGACCATAGAAACAAAAGCTGGTGATAGAATTGCTCAATTATTATTACTTTCATATTTTAAATTCAAAATGGCGCCGATATATAAAACCGGAGGCTTTGGAAGTACAGGGAAAAAGGTGTTTTGACAAACAGTTATCAATGATAAACAACATAAATTAAAATTAAAATTATATGGGATTAAAATTAGAAGATTATTGGATTCTGGTGCTGGGTATATCTATAATTACACAAAAATCCTGAGATCCCAATTGGCCCCTTAAAAATTCTACCTCTAACCTACAAGGTATTGGCACAGCTCAGACGCCATTACAGAACAGGCTACTTTTAAATTGGAAGGACGAGGAAGGTCATGTAGGAACTTTTCAACCATTTGTGCTACCTAACATTCCAGTGAACTTGTGGGGACGGGATGTGTTAGACGTTATTGGAGC